AAACCAAATAATGCAAACTGAAAAACTGTGAAAGTGTCACGAAGACACATGAAAGAAAAGTTAACATGTCTGAGTAAATCAAAGTGACATCTCACCTTCACCCTCATCATCCTCCAGCATCTCCAGATGAGGCATGGCCAGCGTCATCATCTCCCACAGAGTGAGACCGTAGGCGTAGATGTCTGCCTTGTCTGTGATCTCTCCACCTTCTTCCAAACATTCCTTGGGCTTCCACGGCTCTGTGCCGATGTACTCCGCTTTTGGGTCAGACACTGAAGACACAGAGTTGTTTTTCATGAAACTCCTTTTGGACTGAGAAACAATTTAACTGCAAAACAAACAAATTTAATTTGTCCAGGTTGCCACAATGGCGTCACCCAAAATTACATTACTTTTAAAAACAAAGCGCATCTTTGAGGCTCCAGAAGTTTCTAATTAGTTAAAATTGAACCCAAATTGTTGGAGACCCCCGCAGACTGATGACATGATGTATGAGGATAATTTATGTTTCTATCCGGGCAGAAAAACAAAGTAAATCAACTGCTGTAAACAGTGGTTACCACACAAATGTGTCTGCCAATTCTCCGCTTTAATCCATGATTAATCCCATTTGTGTGCCTGCATACGCTCTGTACCACTTCAGTTAACTGCACCATTTAACAATGCGCTGTGGGTGAGTACTCAGTTTTGCTGCTTTATGAATGAAATGACCTGCATGGCAGTCATAAAAGGAGCTCACTGAGTTGCTTTAGTAAGGGGAAAAAATGAACATGGCTCATCTGTTCAGCAAGGAGCTGGCTGAACATTTCTGAATAAAATCTAATTTTTTCACTTTTGTGACCACGAAGCCATATTCCTTTTATTACATGCTGCTTATGACAATTTTCACCAGGTCAGACATCTGTTTTCATGACCATTGAGAAAAAGGCACCTAAGATATGGGCTAAAGTAGGAAGGCCTTTGGTGTTGTTCTCTGTGATGATTTATTTTAATGCCAACATCATCAGCCAACACATTATTGAGCAGAAACACAATTCTTTACATAAAGTCTCCTTTACATCCTTCCCCAAATTCATGACATTTTCCACTGGGGTCAAAGACAAGGAAGAATAAAGGAAGTTTATTATTGTGATTATTATTTCCCCCCCAGATTATTTGACCTGACTCATTGATTTGAGGAGACATTAGAGCAGAGCTGGCAGGGTTAAGTCTGTTTAATTCCAGCTAAGTTAATAAAACCCTAAAAAATATAATAAAGTAATTGTAACTACGGCTTTCCATCCAAAGCTCAACAGAAACAACAGAAAATAAATCAGCACATGTGCTTGAGCTGTGTGGTTGTTATTCTGAGTTTGTCAGCTTATTGGCAACATACCTACTTCTGCAAAGCTGAAAAATACACCAGAAATAATGCTTCCAGGCAAACAGGATGCAGCAATTCATATGAAAAGGACAATTCCAACAATAATAATAAAAAAAAGAATCAAATCCTTCAACCTTCAACCTCTTGGAGGCATTGCTAAACAGTGAAGAAGATGAAAATAATGAGGGACAGCTGTAAACTACAACATAAAACATGAAGGCCGTAACAGATACATGCCCAAAATATACATAAATAAAAACACAAGTCCATTAATCATACAAAATGTGGGCCAACAAAGCACATTATTTTATGAAATATACGAGGCTACGTTTGTGCTTACATTTTCCTTATGCTGTGTCGCCCTTACTGCACTATAATGCTGCTGCTGGGACCTTGTTTCAGTAGATTAACATTTCAAATCTCAAACTCTCATATATAAAACTGGTCAAAAATCTTTAATATGACGGAAAAACCCAGAGAGCTATATCTCGTGAACAAAAACAGAATTTACCTTTCATGTTTTCATCCAGCTGCAGAGACACGCCAACATCGCAGATTTTCACTGTTTCAAAGTCACCCTTGATGACCACGTTACATGATTTCATGTCCCCGTGCAGCAGCTTCTTCTCATTGTGTAGATACTGCAAAGGCAAAGTATTCCTGAAGCTCATGGCTGATGTTAAACAGACAAATATTTAGGAATGAAAGAAACCTTTGAATTAAGTGAGCTGGAGGATTATTAAATAATAAATATTATGAAAATTTACCATTGCCTCACAAATGTTTTACTTTTAACCAGGGATATTATTTAGCATCAGCCACATCCTGGTAGAAAATAAAGGTGACCAATACGTTTCAGACAAAAACACCACTTTTTATCTATTAAGTGGTTAGTATTTTTAAATTTTTATCTCTTGGTGTGTGTTATGTGTAATTTTTAAAAATGTATTTAATTTGTTTTCACCTAAATAATAAATATATTACAGCCTAAAAGATACTGTCAGTTGATATATTGGCAGACAGATGAATATTTGACAGATGGGAGAAAGACTCTTCAGCCATGTTATGTTGCATAGTTTATCCTCCAGAGGGCACTCTGTACCTGCTCTGCTGGCAACATGTTTGTTATGCCACAAACAATAACAAATAATACTTTTAAACTGCATTGACATATTTGCTTAGCAAGGGCTCACAAATAACTCAACATCGCAGATGTTAGCGAAAACTGTTTGCAGTGTTTCCAACAGAAAAAAGTATTAGCCAATATTGGATTTTTAAATCGCCAAATATCCGTATCTAAAAACATGCAGCTCAAGCAGACATATAAAATAATTTGTACCATGTCGTAAAAGATCATGTGTAATAGCTACACATGGTCAGATGTGGGAATTGATCCCACCTGTGACTATATATATATATATGTATGTATGTATGTATGTATGTATGTATTTCCAGTTATGACACAGGTGTTTATGCCAGGTAGAAAGGAGGACCAAGTAAGCGATTTACCTGCAGGCCACGAGCCACATGCAGTGCCACTTTCTCTATAATAGCGGCAGGAAAAGCTTTCAGGCCGTCCTCCCTCCGCTTCTCTATCAGGTCATTGAGGGACTGCTCTCCTCCGTACTCCATGGCCAGACACTTGGAGCCATCTTTGGCAGTGGTGAAGGCACGGAAACCTTGATGTTTGCACAAAGACGCACAAGATTTAAAAGAGCAAATATAACAGTATCACAGACAGCATGATCTGAAAATAAGAGAACCAAAAAGCTATTTTGCACAAGATTTTTACCAAGTGACCAACACAAACATTAATAAAAAAATCAACAAAAAAAAATCAAATGATGTTGAACTGTGGGATTCAGTGTTTTTTTTGTTATTTTCTTATCTTTTCTTAGAAACAATGTCAAAAATTTACAGTGTCAATGGAAAATAAAAGTTACTGACTTGCACATGTAAGAGGACATATAATGTGACCTCAGGGAGCTGAACAATGAATCTCTCTCTGTGTTTTTTTGTGTCACTGCTAACTGAGACAGATTGCCATCACAACAGTGCCCGCTCTTACCAACAATGTTTGGGTGATTGATTCCTTTCAGGACCTTTGCCTCCTCGTTGAGGCGCTCCTGGTAAACAGTCACCTGTTTGGCTGCACATTTACTGTTGATCTTCTTCACAGCCCAGGGTGATGCATTTAGGTTGCCCACTCTACGATTAATCATCAAAAACACACAGTTAGAGCGCATTTGTTTTTTTTATGTTTATGTACACAGACAGGAATTGCAAATGCGATAAAAATATCTTGTAGATGTATTTGTTTACTTGGTCATGAGATACTGAAAGAGACACGATACTGGCAATGGCAATATAATATGGCCTTTAAAAACACACTGCTCATTCATGTTAAGTTTGCAATATACAGCTCCAACTAGATTGGCTAGATGTCCCACCTGCATGCATCCCTACTAACACCCACAGACGATTAGCAGACAGAACATGAGCTGAAATCACAGCAGTTTTTAGTTACTAGGAGAGATGAAAGTTGCATCTGAATTAAAAAAAAAACCATATTTAATTGTCCTTCACATGCTTCATGCCAAACCTGTGAACTATATTAAATTTTTGAGTTAGATATTTTAAACAAGCTCTCGTCATAATGTGTGCCACACTGTCGCACAAAAAACACTATTGTTCACACAGTCTGTTGGGATCTTGTCACATTATCTTCAGCTAACATTTTTTAAATTTGCAGGTTAATGAAAAGCAAAAACAGGCTAAAAACAAACAAACAAAAAGTTCATTGAAACCCAAAGTGACATCCAAGCTAAATTTTTTTTCTAAATTGGAAGCTGAACACTATCCAACTTCCAATGACCTGGAAATCAGGAAATCTGGTTATTTGAAGAATTTTTTGTGTTTAGCCTTTGAGTTAATTTTGCTGTAAACAGACTGATTCAGGTACTTCCTTGGATCTTTGAGGGGTAGACATGACAATCAGCTTAATGATTCTGTGTTTTGACACAGATGTTAAAGTCCTTGCTATCTCTAGGGATTTCCTAAACAAAGTTATGTACCAAGCTTGACTAAATAATTTCTGATTTAATTTCAAAAGGGTGGTTACATTTGATAGAAGATACATTGTGATCCATCAATTCACAGAGCACAGTAACACCTGTTCATAAGATAGACGTTGACTCCAGTCCCACAACCCAACTTCTTCATGAAAGGAGAGGCAGGGATGGTGATGGGGGTTCCGCTGGTGCTTCCGGTGCTCCTCACTCGGACAATTTTAGGGGTTTTAAATGCGCCCTGGTCGGGGCTGGTGGCAGGGGTGGCCATTCTGTAAAGTTTCAGTAAACACGTGAAAGCAAAGTGGCAAAACAAACTCACAACAAGATAGAACAGGACGTACGGGCATTAACAATGATGTGGATTAACGTACTGCACCAATAGGTGGTATTTCATGTATGTATAAGCCGAACTAAAATCTGAGGTGCCTACTATGTTTTTAACCATATACACGGTTGTCCTTGTCTACGCTTATATAAAACTTAAAGAAAAAGATATATTTTAAACGGGACCTGGCGCAACTGCTATTGACAATAGCGTTCAGAGAGAAGCTTCAAGACTCAATTCAAAATTTTACTTTAAACTGAGTAATTAATACAAGACTTAGCTTCGAAATAAGTGATGATTATTTTAGAGTAGTTTTTTAGATATCGGTTATCGACAATATAAAACAAAATTCGCCAACTGTTTAAATTATCGTCAACTGGCATCCTTTAACTGTGACTGCGAATCATTTGGTAAGTTATTTGAATTAATGTATCAAAAATGTCGTTAATTTAATCAAATATTTGTAACTTATTTTAAAGAAAAGTAGGATTACCTAAAAGTTTCCTTTCGCTGCTGTAGCTAAAAACCGCCCGAAGATTCAAACTGAAGGCTGGGCATACAGGACGGAGACCGCAGAGGTACAAACCGAGCAGAGGGCGTTTGCTTTTTTTAATAAGGGAGTGAAACGTGCATATTTCATTTACTTTTCAACGTGACTGGCCTCAGCTGGTGAAAAGCAGAATTACATTTTTTACTTTTTACACGTTTTACAATATTCTTGAGTTTTCCAATAATTAAAAATTGTAATTCTGCTTTTCACCAGCTGAAGGCAGTCACGTTGCAAAATACTAGCAGTATGTGTGTTTGTTTATGACAGATGATGATGTAATAGCAGAGTTGGTTACAAATTAGATTACAAAATGTATTTTCACCACTTACTATAAGCTACACCACAGATTGTAGTCATCACTTACTTATGAATAGTTAGAAAACCCTAGTACCAAAATGAAACAGGGACTGTGAGATCATGATTGGTCACATTTCAAGTAGCTGACACTATTCTTTAATTTAGAGCATGCTACTTATAAAGATAAATTTGCTGCAATATGTAAGAATTTGTAGAATAAAAAGTGAAAATTTGTAGAAAAAAATTCAAGCAGCAGAGGGAATGGGAGTAGAAGTCAGCCGATTAGAAAGCAGAAGACCGAACAGGCTTACTCTGCTCTTCTCTCTCTGCCATGCTGGGTTCCCAACCACGGAGCACAGGGAGCCACTAAGTTTCCTTTAAAGCTTTTAAAAAAAATATTAGCAATGATTTTAATGAGAAAATCAAGGCAGCTACAGAAGTCCCCCATCCTTCATTAAGAGCATCAGCTAAAACCAGAGTGAACAACAATTTTGGCTGTTGGTGCCTGTGCTGGCTTACTAGCTACCTAACATAAACATATTCTGGGGGATTTTTAATACAATTGCCCATTAGCAATCAAACCTATTTGCTATTAAGAGTTATATTTTCTAGGTAATATATATATATATGATAGTTTCTTTTATGTTAATGTCTTTTTTGTCTTGACACCAACTCCTTGTAAACTGGTTTAGTGTCATATACAGTGTGATGTAGTGATGTCCTTGAGTGTCATTCATGTGGTTTAGAGAGAGACCTTAGAGGTGAACTAACAGTTCTCTTTTACTGCAAACACTGAGACAAACTGAGTGAGAAGACACTGCTGGGATGTGGAGTGAGTGTGTCAAATATTTGAGCTAACGATAATATCACACTGATCAGTATATTTATGATAGCCAATAAATGATTGTTTACTCTGATTTCCTGCTGCTCCTAATGAGGAATAAGGGATTTCTGTGTCTGTGTTGATTTCCTCTTTAATCACAGTGCTAATGTGGTGTAGAAGATTGCTGCCACACCGCCTCTTCAGCCTGTGCTTCAAAGGCTCTGATAGTTAGAATTAACACTCAGGGTGTTAATTCATTTAAACTTACATAATCATCCTGCTGTAACCAGGTTTCAGTAAGGCAGAGTAAATCGATTTCTTGATCAATTGTTAAGTCATGTACTAACTCTTTGGTGCTGTTGAGGATACTGTATTGTTCTTTCTTTCTTTCTTTTATTTTTTTACATTTAAGTCCTTTTTTTTGCTGGTTTTTAGTTTGTTTTTGTCTGTTTGGGAGCTGACACAGTCTCAATGGAGATGGGGTTTAGGGGGATAACAGTAGGAGAGAAGCTGCAGAGGTGTGTGAGACTGCAACTCTGCTTCCTGGTCCCAACACTAGATAGTCATGTTTCAGGGGATTTCATAAATTTGCCAGATTTCTAGAAATAAGAGCTGCTTCATTCAAAGTGGGATTGTCTCACAACCAGACCAGGTTTCCTCCAGAAAGTTTCCCAATTATCTATAAAGCCCACATCATTTATTGGGCACCACTCAGACAGCCAGCAATTTAAGGAGAACATGCGGCTAAACATGACACTCCTGGTCTGATTGGGGAGGGGACTACAGAGTCTAACATTGTGTTGGCAAAGTTACACACTGATTCAATATTGATTTTAATGACCTCTGATTGATGTAACCGGGTGTCATTATTGCTGATGTGAATTATACTTTTACTGAATTCAGGTTTACCCTCAGCCAGCAGTTTTAAATTTCACTCAGTGTCACCTGCTCTGGCCCCTGGAAGACAATTGACTATGGTTGCTGCTGTCTTCACATGTCTCAGAACAGAATCACCAATTACCAGAGTTTGATCCCTGGCGGGTGTGTCGCCGAGTGGGGGAAACAGTTAGACACATGAACAGGTTTGTCATGTACCAGGGCTTCTGTTTAAGACTATGCTTCCTCCTCACTGTCACCCAGCCATCATGTTTGCCCGTCTGCTCAGGATAACCTGCTGGGAGACAGTTAGCAGGGCCTACGCCACCTTCCACTGCTCTGGCTACAGGGGCCTGACCAGCTACGGGGTTTTCAAGGGTGGGATTTCGAGTGTCCAATTTAGTGAACCAGGCCTCTAGAGCTGCATAAAGGCTACATTTATTACCAGTATCATTACTGCTCATTTAAAAAAACAGAAAGCATAACTCCTTCTCCAGAGTCGGAGCAGTCTTCCACATATCAGGTTAAATAAAGACTGCTGAGGAGCAAGCATGGCTTGGGCCCATCTCAGAGCTCACCCTCGCAGCAGGATAACCATGAAAGCAATTTTTGCACAGTCTGAGGAATAAATTCTCCTTTGTTGATGAAACACTAGGAAACCCTGTGTGAGAAGACCTCCGTTCTTTTCACAGGTAAAAACTTCAGGTGTAGGAAGAGGCCTCTCCAGAGGTACAACCTCCCTGAGCTGTGCTGCTGACCATGCCCATCGTTTTATGACCACAGTATACTCATCTTATAACGGATGTCAATCCAGCATCCTTGGCATGTGGTGGATCAGGAGATTTGCAACATGGATGCACAGCTGACAAATCTGAAGCAACTGTGTGATGCTATCACGTCAATATGAAATTAAATCTGTGAGGAATGTTTCCAGGTCTTTGTT